ATTAGATATTTCCTTCTATACTTTTTAGCACGTAGCTATTTATTATTAGCATTATTCTTCTGACGTCTGATTTCTTTTTAATTATAGGAAATGCGTTTTTCTAAGGTACATAAACTTTTGGGATTGACTGTATAGCCAATACATCCTTAAAAGATTTCACTTGTCACATAATCTCTCGATGTAAAACAATGGAAATATAAACGGCGAGCAAGAAAGAGTGACGGTTTCTCGAACGATATCTAAGGAACGAATCTATTAATAGATTAGCTATTAAAAAGAGTTCACGCCCGAGCAGTATCTCTCCAGCTGCCTTTTCTATTTACCGCAATCTTTGCTCGCGAATTCTCCCCGCAGCGATCAACAAGGCCGATCTATTTTGATTTCAGGAAGCGGGACGCTTTCCTCAGTTCGCGGATTATTCTGACTATATAAAAACGACCTCCCTGATTCCTTGAGTGGCGGAGCCGCGTGCTCGTTTAAAGGTTCGACTAAAAATAGCGAGTTCCGCACGCGGAAACGGAGTATCGTGTCGTCCAGCGATATTTATAACGTTCTTTGAAAAAGAACTTCTCTGTCAATCATCGCGTCTCACTAATCATAGGCGAGGATGAATAGGCGTGAGATGAATAATTAGCACGAACAAAGTGCAATGAATTTAAGAAGAATGTTTTTTTCTTATTAAAGAATTAATTTAACAAGTGCAATGAATTTAAGAAGAATGTTTTTTTTTTATTAAAGAATTAATTTAACATGTCGAACTGAATTAGTATGTTAATGATTAATTTTGATATTGACTATGAAAGAATAAGGGTCAACATGTGATGACATTTAAAATATAAACGGCTTTTAGAGCTTTAGGATCTTAGCAAGAGATCTAAATTGCTGTTTCGAACTTCTTAACAGTGAAACTTTCTTTACGTTTAATATTGCAATCTCCATGAATTTAACAGATACTTCCGAATTTTCGAGAATTCCATTTAATATTCCTCGCGTTAACCGTTAACAATTCCGCGAAGAGAGATCTCCAAGTATCAGTTGAAACACGGCCACGTGTCGAATGCAAATGAATACATTAAACTGTACCATTAATACTTCCATTATCCCGGCACACATCCAGAACAGAGATCACAGTCTCACGTACGTATGTACATACATATATGTATAGCAACAGTATTATCCTCTCGGCGACTGCATAATTGAAAGATTCTTGGCGTACCACGACGATCGGCCGTCGCCAAAAGATAATGTACAGAGATCGTTAGCAGTGGTTCGAATGAAAATTTCAACGTCTACGGAAACTGCACACAGGCTCTCGGTGGATATTATCAGTAATTAAACAAGAATCCGAACGGAAGGGTGGAACGATTTTGGGCAATTGCCGCGGCGCGATAAACGCACGTTATGGAGCAGTGCCTTGGTAATTTCACTGGTTCGAACCTACGACCCGACGTCGTGCCCCGAGCACTCTTTAGACATGGATTTTCCATCGATTGACCCGAACCATGATAATGGGAGACGTTGCTGTTTCTAAAGAGATTCGGTAAACAATCATCTATTTAATAGGAAACCATTTATCTTGTCCTATTGTTATGAAATATAATTGAAAACGAAATAATTTGGTAACCAACAAGATTTATTAAACCAATAAGTTAAAAGATATTTTAGACGATAATTTCAATTGAATCATTCCATCTAANGGGGAAGGAAAGCGATGGATGGATCCTCAAAAATTCACTCCTCGTTAGCGATATCGTCGCGGAATCGTTGCTCTCGGGATAATCCGGAATGGAAAGAGTCGGGGAGAAGAACACCAAGAAAATCTACAACAGGCTCGATCCAGGCTAAGCTCTCCCTACGCTCTATTTTTCACGCAAATTAACTAACCATCGAGTGAGCGCACGCGGCTCGATTTTCATCGAACGAAAACGAAATTGCACTAGAATTGATAACTCTTGTACCAGAGAATTTCGAGTTCATGAAAATTTTGAAAACTCTTGATAAAATGGATTTGAAACTTCTCTGCTGTAAAATTTCATTACTGACACCGCGTAATAAACTATAATGATTAATAAAAGTGTTACTGCATGTTTCTTTATTAGTGATCAAAATGCGTAATATAAAATACGTGAAAGCACTAGTCATCGTCAGAAATAAAGGAAGGTAAAATCCTTTGAGCATCCCTCTCAGTAGAAGGCATGATCCAAAAGCAAGGTGCACTCTTTGTTATATCATGTTCGTCGAACGTCAGAAACCGTGTTTCCCGCGGCAAGGCAGGGACCCTTCAGGTCGACGAGACGAGACACAAAATCGGCGCGGTTAGAAACACGCGAAACTTGTAAAAACCGTCGAGTCAGCGGATATCGAGACGCGGTCGATATCTCGTTGCCTGTCAAGGAGACGACGCGCGACGCGAGGTTTGATATCTAGGCGGAAAGGACTCACCGAAAACTGGAGCAAGGATGGATGACCCAGTGACCTGCAGCCTTTTGCCTGATCCGTTCCTTCATCAGAGCCTTCTTGCTGCCGAACAGCTTCATGGCCAGCTTGTTGTCCGTAGGCTGGAACAGGGCCTGAAGCTGATTCTTCAAGAAGCTCTGCTTGACTTCCTGGCCCGGCAGCGCCGGGCCCAGCTCCTCCTTCGGCGTCCCGTAAAGGGACACATCGTCCACTCCGAAGTGGACCTTCCCGCTGCCCTTGTAATTCATCTCGTTGCCTGCAAAAATACAAAGACCTTCGCTTATCACCGATCTCGTAAAATCGAAGAAACTACTTAGACCCAGTCCCACTTAACTAATTCAACAAGAGAAATCGACCACGTTTAGGAATCTTTGCCCATGACGTCGGATGATAATCTGGCTTCAATCTGCTTTGCAAATATTGTTTCTTATAACAGTCATTGTTGTATGAAGTAAGGTTCAAAAAAAAAATACAGTGCACTGAAGAGATTCCAGGATACAGAAATTCTTAGTGTATGCGTCATACCATATCTAAACCTTCACTGTCTTTTAAGACTTTACATTTCTAGTTCGTATGCAATTATCAGCTGCAATATGATTGATTATATGTATGATATCAAAGGTATGACTATACGTACTTATTGTATAAAATACATTATATTTAACGAAGTACAATCTTTCTTAATCTATAGTATAATCCCAAAAAATTTACGAAATGTACCACATTTTACAAAAGGAACAATGCTGATCCTCAATGAAAGTACACAATGTCATCGTCTCAATTGGTGATCTTCCAATCTGTAAATTACTCACCACAAATTACCGATCATCCAGCTAATTTGATCTGTCAAACAGAATCGCGATATCAAGCGTCGAGCGTAATCAGTTACCTTGCTAATTATGTCACCTGTTATATAGTGTTAATAGCTCAATCCATCAAACACGATATATTGATGCCATTTTGAAGCAATGATAAAAATATTTTAACGTAGAATTACTTGTGTAAAATATTAGGCAAGATATGTTTAATTTCTACTTAACTACTAAACATACTTAGCTAATAAACAGTCTTTAGTTCATTAGATAATTGTCAGTCATAAAGATAGTTTAAATACATACAATTAAATACTCTTATTTTTCACTTGATTTGAGACTAGCTTAATAATATGCTTCTGACATCAGTTCAATTTCCCTATAATTAATCTCAGCGTATGCCAATGTATCACTTAATGGACTGACTTTAGTTACATATGCAGCTGTTCTATTGAATGTTAACCGAAGTATAATCATCGAGTAGCAACTAGTGTTTGAACAATAAATAACGTTCGACTTCAGTTAGACGGGAAAAAATGACGAACACTCGAGACGCACGCGAGCTCATTCCGATCTCCCGTGACTTTCTTTCCCGGTTCCCAAACGTACCGTGGCTCGCGCACACCGCCAACCTCGATGGGAACACACGCGAACGTAAAACCTCTAAAGTAAAAAGCGGCAAGCACCGTTCCCTCGACGAGCCGATTAAATACAGTTAACCGGCAGGGAATTCTGATTCTTTTCTTTATATGCGAGCCATGATATGTAGCTCCGGCAAAAACGAGTGGAATCCGACCACGACGTGGAATGCCAAACAATATTGGAATTTCATTTGATCCTTATGATCTTCATTTTACGTGATATTGACAAAATGATCGATAAATTTCAATTATAAAATATTAATTACATATTTTTTTTTTATACTAGAATGCAATATTATAATTATTATTAAGAAACCCAGCGAACTTGTGTTCATTTGATGCAAATCGAAATCCCGTACGAAGGTGATTCTTCTAATTTGCTTTGATGGAATAGTAACAATATCTGTTGCATGAAGTTTAATGCATAACTCAACGAACAATAGACAGTAAAATAGTTAATGCCTCTAATAATAGCTGGTTTCGTAATCGTAAACGGTGATCATAATGGTACATACTCGCATTCAGAAATCTGAACATTATTGAAGCATGAAGGAAGATTATAATTGTTTACAATGATTTTCTGTCCAGGTAAGGAAACAAGTTCGTAACGACGTAGTAAAAATCATTAATAAATCATATCGTACACGGATGTCGTTTAACGAGATATCAGAAATATGCATCGATTTTAAAACAAGAATGCATCAAGTAGATTTTATCATTAATTTATTACTAGTTTAGAATGTAAATATACACAAGTCTATTGTTATAGTATATCATGGAAACACTAGCACTAACTCAAAGTCAATCGTGATTCCACAAGAACACTGGACCAAATTCTCGGAAAAGAACACTCACCGAATTCCAAGTGGCTGTTCGTATGGTTTGATTCGGGCCTGTTTGGGACGAGGCTAGGACAAGGCCCATTGTTCCCTACACAAGGTCTTTGTTTCCCGAGCAACGGCGTGCTCTGCTCGCGCGCCGGGTAGTCCTCGGCCATCGCCCGAAAAGCTCTAAAGCGACGTGCAACGGTTCGTTCCGTTTTAACGTGTTAACTGGCCCTCTGGGGTAGAGGTTGACTAATGACGGGTGGAACGCGAGGAAAAGGAAGCCACGCGGCCGCAGCAACATGAGACGCGGCGCGAAAGCCAGACCCGGCCGATCCGATGCCGGCGAGTGCACGAGAACCAAAGAGAGCCAGCAAACACGGACACAGCGGAACGAATGTGGAAAGAGAAGCGAAGACGAGAGAGCGACGGACTGACCGGTTTTATTGCGGATCAAACGACCGACCACGCGTTCAATTCTTTTGCCAACGCAACGCGTCTGCATATGAGGAACGCGCGTAAATGCAAATCCGACGGCGCGACGCTTACTTGTCAACCTTGACACTGGGCGACAGCCATCGAGACAGTTGTGGTCTATTCGTTTTTGCGAGGGATACGCCCTGAGAGACAACTTTAACCCCTTGCGATTAAAACGTCACTCACGTTCGTGTACATAGATATTTGTAAATCAATCGACTTATATATAATTGGATAAATTTTGTTTGAACCGGTACTGACCACTGTGGAACGCATTTAGAAAATAATTGGATTTAAGAGTACAAAGGGCAATAACCTTTTACAAATGAAGCTATCATTCATCTTTATAAGTCACATCAATATAAGCAATTATGGAATCAACTATGGAATATGACTAAACTGAATTTTAACGTATCAATCAATTGGGATTAGATTACATAACCATTTTGTCATATTCAATTATATATTATTTAACAAATATTTCAATTATTAAACATTTACTGCCTGATCATAGAATTAAAACGAAACATCCCGTTCATATATGACAAGAATAAATACTTTAAAATAATCTGAAAAGATCAGGAAATGCTACAACACTATAATCGATAATTAAATGGAACTCGTTTAAAATTAGCTTCAGCAAAATTCAAACAAATACGAATGTCAAATTTTGTTTGAGAGAATCGCGTTTACGTCTGTGTAGGTTGAAAAATCTGCTTCGAGAATCGTAGCGTAAAGTCGTGTAGAAGGAGTAGCTAGTCGCGTGGAGTGTGCTCGATGAAGCCGAGCGTGCAATTCTTCAGAGACGGCTGGATGCCGCCACGCTTCACGAAATTAGACGCAATTCTACGGGGAGGCTCTTGCCTGAGCGCGAGGCTGTTTTTAATTGAGTGTTCTACAAGTTACCAGCAAAGTGGGAAATTTGACAACCTGCGTCTACCTATATTCATCAGATATTACCGATGATATTACTAATTAAATGTTGACAGATTCAATTATTAATGATTCACATTTAGTATTGTTATTATTAACATTGTTTCACATGATGATTGCTACTTTATAATATTCTGTCTACTCTATTTAAATGAATTGACATTATTTGTATCGACGTTCTATAAATTATAACAAAGCTTAAAGTTTTACAATAATTTGATAATTTTTTATCAAAGGAATGAACGAATGATTTATAAGTTGAATATTCTAGTCAAAGTTTTAAGTAGAAAAGAATGTACGTTCTACTGTTTGTACAACTACGAGCTCTTATCTACATA